GGATAGAGAGACCGGGATGGTTTTTAATGTGAAGACAACAACAACAACAACAACATTGTAGAGAGACCCGTCAGAGATGGCATGGCTAAANGGGTTAACTGCACTTGCGGGCCTCGGCCTCCCCCGGGGAGGGGAGGAGGGTGGAGGCGGAGAGGCACAACAAACGTCAAGAAAAAAATCCAAGCCAAAGCCATGCCACACATTCAATTCGAACAGGAACAAAAATACCCACAGACAGACTACTTGTTGTGACTTCCGTAGAATTCACCTGAAAATACATGCAGTGTTTCTCTCCCTTCTTCCCCTCGCTCCTCGACAAGCTTTTGCTTAGACATGGGTTGTAGTGAAGGGGGGGGTCTTTCTGGCGAGCAGGGCTAGACTCACCCTCAAGGGATGACCGAAACCTTCTTGCTGCTGCGCATATCCGCCGCGAGGCATGCGCGTGGTGGTGTAGTTGGGTCGGCACTGATGGGGTCAGGCGAAAAAATGTAGATGCGCGGGCCTCTGGCCGTCGGCGTAGGCAGCGATGCCCATCTCATTTTTTGTGCGCGGAGGCAGACACCGTCAGAAGGTGGACGGGAACTATGTACACGGCCCTAGGTTGGCTAGAGGGCGCTGCATTGCCTCAGTAACCTGGCTTCGCCATCAAAGGAGGAGGGAGCAGGTGGCGACGAGCTGAACTGGGCTGGTTGACCCCTTCGGCGCGAGAATTTTTATTTTTCAGACCAAGAACCTTGAGTGCAAGGAGGGAGAAAGCGAGGAACCGACTGGGAAGGACAGCAACGAGAGCGTGTACGGACGGAGCAGGTCGAGTGGCGTTATGCTCGGGCTGACTACAGCGGCGCCGGACGGAGCAGCGGCACCGGAGCATGCGGGCGACATCGACCCGTGGCGCACGGACAAACATTTATATCTGATCTGTGTTGTCAATTTTTCTCGTTTTTTTCCTGATTTTCGGTGTTGGTTCTATGTGATGACGTCGTCACTGGTTTTGTAGAGAGACCCGTCAGAGATGGCGTGGCTAACCCGGGTGCCTTGGTTATGTGCCTGATCGTGGAAGACCCCTTCAATGTGGAACGATTCTTAGCTAGTGTCGATATTTTTCACTGCAGTGCCTAACACAGACGATCGGGAGAGATTCGGGTGATTGTCAATTGCTGCTATGATGGCTTTGGTTCGTTGTTCTTTTTCACTGTACGGCCGCAGACACGCGGTCGATGCTAATAATAAANGCGCGGGCCTTTCTGGCCGTCGGCGTTGGCAGTGATGCCCATCTTATTTTGGTGCGCGGAGGCAGACACCATCAAAAAGGTGGACAGGCACTACACGGCCCTAGGTTTGCTAGAGGGAGCTGTATTGCCTCAGTAACCTGGCTTCGCCATCAAAGGAGGAGGGAGCAGGTGGCGACGAGCTGAACTGGGCTGGTTGACCCCTTCGGCGCGAGAATTTTTATTTTTCAGACCAAGAACCTTGAGTGCAACGAGGGAGAAAGCGAGGAACCGACTGGGAAGGACAGCAACGAGAGCGTGTACGGACGGAGCAGGTCGAGTGGCGTTATGCTCGGGCTGACTACAGCGGCGCCGGACGGAGCAGCGGCACCGGAGCATGCGGGCGACATCGACCCGTGGCGCACGGACAAACATTTATATCTGAGCTGTGTTGTCAATTTTTCTCGTTTTTTTCCTGATTTTCGGTGTTGGTTCTATGTGATGACGTCGTCACTGGTTTTGTAGAGAGACCCGTCAGAGATGGCGTGGCTAACCCGGGTGCCTTGGTTATGTGCCTGATCGTGGAAGACCCCTTCAATGTGGAACGATTCTTAGCTATTGTCGATATTTTCACTGCGTGCCTAACACAGACGATCGGGAGAGGTTCGGGTGATTGTCCATTGCAATCATGGCTTTGGTTGGTTGTTCTTTTTCACTGTACGGCCGCAGACACATTCTGACAGCACTTCAGACAGCAGCTTTGTGCCCCGCCAGCTTCTTGTTCCATGCCTACCATGGTGTTTTTGTACAGACAGCACTTCAGAAAGCAGTATGTTGTAGTCGGCAACCTTCCGTTTTGGA